CTTTTAAGAGACTTTCTGACATATTTCACAGTGCTTTGGCTTAGACTTAAGAACTCTGACACACACGCCATGCTCCCTGAGCTTCTAAAGTACATCAAATTACACAGATGGCATAATCATAAATACTGTATCACTTCTATAAGTGCTGGTGCATACTCTGGCAGCATCTTGGGTGCCCCAAAAAGGTAGAATGAACCTAAAGAGCCAAAGCCATTTCTCACATATAAAATCTGGCAAAAATATACAAGAAAAGAAAGGGGGAAAAAAGGTCATAGCAGCCAACTTTGTACTTTTAACTGTTCAGCTAAAGAATCACTTCAAGAGACCCAGAGTTAAGGTTTAACAGGCTCAAAATGAAGTGAAAATCGTACTCTACTCATTGCAGGAAATGTAAGGAAAGAAATAAGTGAAGGTCACAAAAAGGAATTGAAGGCAAGAAGGAAATTGAAGGTAATGAAGGCAAAGTGCTACAGAATGGAATTAAAACAAAGTAAACCAAAGTCCTGACATCAAGTCAATACAACTTATCATAAAAGACCACAAAGTCCTGGGAAAATTACTCCCAGACACGTGTCTGTGTTATAAAAAACGAAACTGCTGCAATGCAACCTCTCAGTCTGCTTTTGAAATAATTTGTGTTCTTCAGGCTGGATGATGGTGGTATCTATCTGAGTAACTACAGGGAAAAGCTCCTCCCCATAACACACTAGTAATTCTCACTCTGTCTTACATTGTGTGTACTATATGTCATGCATGTTTTGGTAATTATTTCCCCATTTAAAGAATAAACTTACAACACTGGGTGCCTAATCTGGGGAACTACTTTTAAAAACAATTCATTTATCCAAATTCTGCTGTTTGGCATCCTGCTGGGTACATAAGACATCGAATTTTCAAGACAATGAATTAATGGGGTCCAATCGAGTCTAAAAACAATGCTGACAATTGCCTGGCAGAAGTGCTTTACAGAAGCAATGATTTCACCACAAAGGAGGTGTCTATGGGCTACTAATAGAGTGTATTTTCTGTCAGAACTTCTGTCAAAATCTTGACACTTGGTCTCATGTTTAGGAGCTGTACAAAAGCAATTTCACTCAGGATTGAGCAGAACCTTGTCTTCTACTGAAAACAGAAACGTCAACAGAAAAATGCCAGTATGGTACCCGTGCCTTCAGCACTACTGGCATGACCACCTTGGTAAGTCCATATTAGGTACAAAGAAGGCAAACTAGGATCTGTCAAGAGCTACTGAAAAAAAGAACGAATACTCAGGGTTCAATAAGGCTTATGTTGCAAATTTCTAAGAGAGTGAGATTATTCAAGCAGGAGGCATCCCCACATTCCCAACCTCTTCTGTTCTCCCCAGGGCCATGTTCTTCCCCATGGCCACTCTGGCCATGGTGGGAAATGTGCTACTACACAAACTCATGTTCATCAGTGATCTCTGAAAAATTAAACTAAACATTTCAATGTCAAGTTGTGATAACCAATTTTAAAAAATTGAACTTTGAATCCTCTGTGTAAAAAACCCAAAGTGTTAAAAGGAACACAGTGAAACTGGAGAAGAGAAGCTATATTTATCCAACAGAAATTTACGATACACGGATTTTGAAACAAATAAAAAAGGCCATTTTGTCTTAGATTAATATAAATGGTGGATCTCTTCTTCCATCATACTGTGGTTTTGTCTTAGTCTAAATCAGTTACTTCATTTGATAAACAAGAACTGTGGCATTGTGAATGCAAGCAAAGCTTTAGACATTTGCATTATTAGACTAATTTGATTTACTGCTTCCTAATCATTATTCACTGTTTCTCATTAGTCATTCAGTACTATATTTATATAAATTGTTCGGATATAGTCACCTGCTTCTTGTTCAGCTTTTACTACAGAAATCAAACAAGATAAAAATTATTTATTAAAACCAAACAAATAAGGATATTACATGGTTGATGTTGAAATGACAAAAAATAAATGAAAATGAAGCCACTTGGTCATTTCACACACAAGCCCAACCAGTCGCTTCTTACTAGCATTACATGGTGCAATCAAAACCTCTTGTCCAAACCCAGCAATAACTACCTTGAGCTCAGAATTTATGTCTGTTGTGATTCTTCTTTTTTTAAAAGTCTATCTCTTGTGTTCAGATGTACATTATTTCTAATTCATTTATAATTCTTAAGCAACATAATGGTACACAAAACCCTTGAGGGGCTAGCTTCCAACTGACATTCACAGAGGCAGTAAAGAAAGCACATCAGGAATACACACAAGATATTTGCTTCAGGGAACACTTATTCAACCAAATTTTTGAAGGTATTACATAAATGCAACAAACTACATTTGTATGAAAATACAGATTTTTCTGGATACTACTAGGAAAATATTGTAGAGCTAAAGGAGTTTGAAGTATTACCATAGGTAGGAGTCAAAATAGTTCTTTTCTTTTATTCTTATTTTTAAGCTATTTCTTGTTATTTTTATCTACAATTACCACATAGACATTTATAAAAAAAATAGTGATGAAACAAAAATCAAATGAGCTCAAGTAACAAATATGCTTACTAAACAACTAGAAAGTTAGGATTAATTCAAAAGCAGGGAAAAAACCCAACAGATAAGTTTTTGTATGTACTTACACATTAAAAAAGCTGCAATAGATTCCTTACAGAATGAAAAGCATTAATAGAAAACACAGAATGAAAGAAACTCTTTCACAGTGCATTTATTTGCCAAGTATCATAAGATACCCTTAGGTAAAAGTAGTGTACTGTTTTTTCTGAGCAGTGAGTGCTGATTCAAGGAAAGACTCATTCCCTGTACTGCGTAGTCTCTATAGTTCGTTTGTAACTATGCAGCAAAAGTTTTGGAAACTGTGGTAAAAAGGAAAAGCATAGCCACATTGGTAGTGATCTGCTTAAGCATCTTACATTATGCTTAAATAGCATAAGCTACTTTAATATCCATATGTGTGTGAAGTAGGACCAACTTGTGCATTGGTTTAGTTAGATCAGCAAGGAACTAGCAGATGATAGTGGCACAAGAACATTCATTACTATTATAAGATTTATTCAGAAACTAAAATTAAATGAAAGCATCATCATATAGACAATCCTAACCTAAGGGTGGTGGTAAACTTCATAACACTCTGATGAAGTCTACGCTCTCAGACGGCTAAATTTCCATACGTGGAAGAGCTATCCAATTTTCCTGACACCTATTTGTCACAGAGAAAATTAGTTGCAGGTACTTGCAGATTCCAGTTTTTGCGTTCAATACACCTTAATATTTATATGACAAATACCTGTACCTGATCAGGAAACAAAACTCCCATACAATGTCCCCTGAAAAAGTCATTGTTTGTTGTAATTCCCCTTATAAACACTGAGGAGATAAACCACAGCAAATTCACTCCAATAAATGGATGCAATTATTTTAAAACACGTAACTTCAAATTAAGAATTGTACAAGAGGAAATGACAATGATCATGCCTATTTTACGAGCAGAAAAGACATATCTCACTTAAATGAGTCACTTGCTGAGGCTCTTTCCTGATAGATATTTGTAATAATTCACATCCACTGTTTCATCACAGACAGAAAACAAAGACCGTATAAGTTGTTTCACCGTCATCACTAATTGTATCTTTCATAGAATAGGTTTTCCAAATGCAATATGAGAGGACACAGATTTCAGAATAACCTATGGAAAAACCTTTCATATCAGGGTACAAAAACCCCTGAAACAATATTTTAAAATAAGCTTCAGGATGTGTTGTGTGAGTTGCTCTTATTTATGCACTCTTGGTAAAGACAACAGCCTTTTAACTTTTATTTTTATTTTGCTAGTGTATTTTTCTGAAAAACATGTCAACTGCAATTCATAAATATCCCAACTTGTTCAATAAAAGCAAGCTCAACAGCTTTTGCAGCACTTACAAAACACATCAGAAAAATTTATTTACTGAAGGAACCATCTACAGACACCAATCAATTCTATAGGGCCAAAAGGCTAATAAACTTTTCACTCTGATGTAAGTGCACTCCCTAAGTGAATATCATCTAAACATGAAAATCCAATTCTTCCAATGACTGCTTTATATCTAAAAATATCACTGCTGAATGCTGCAATTACATTTCTCAGCTGGAGACATCTTTCTACATTATTTTCTTGAATGCCTAAGATCCAGGCTCAACAGTATGCTAATCAACTGCACTAAACTCCAAATGTGATCTAATTAACTGGAAACCACTCAGATTTGATTGGTAGGGTTTTTTTGGTTTGCTTTTAAATCCAAGCGTATCTTAATCACCTTGTCTGCCCTCCATAGAAAATAGTAATGAGAAAGGACAAGATGTTCAGAGAAAAAAACCCAGAACCCTATCATTATAAAATATGCTTAAGTCCTGACAACATCTACTTACTCTCAAAATAGCATGTTTGCCCAATAATTTCTTATGGATTCTGACTATAACATCTCTAGTCATAAAACTGCTCAAAGGTAAAAATCACCTCCAGTGTGTATTTAGGTCACAGTGCAAGCCCTAGACATTTGAACCATGCCTCACAGTTGGTTTCTAACGAACTGGTGAAGCAGCTCCTTGCCCTTAATTTAGTTTGCTGAAGGAAATAATTCTGCAACTCCCATAAAGCTTGGTTCTCTGCGGTGGAAAGGTCACTGCACGTTGTATGCAGCCCTATTCAAACTGGGTGTGCTCTCTGTCTTGTAGAACAGCTTACGAAAGATGTATGCATCAGAGGGTATTTCTCCTTCTTAGATTAGCAATAACTATCTGTTAGGCTTAACCTCCCTTTCTGCCTCCTCTAAAATTCTAAACATTTAAGAGAGCTTGTAGGAAACAAGGATGAACACAGCAAGTCACCTCATGAGTAATCTTTTAACTAACTCTGATTCTTTTCTCTCTCCTATCCAAAGTATTCTTGACAATATATAAACTACTAAATTGAACATATGCCATATCGTGTTTTTTTACTCACCTACGCAGTTATCACAAAGGCTGCAATGTGAGGCACGAGGTGGGCGGAAAATCTTGCAAGTAAAACAATATTTTAGTTTCACTGTCTGTCCATTGATGATCACTTCTTTTGTTCTGGGAGGGGGGCGATATCCTCCTGAACTGGACCCATTTGCTATATCTAAACATGGAAAAACAACACATTAAATTTTTCACATGAGCTACAGTGTATGCACAGAACTGTCCTTGATGGCAGTCTATAGCAAGTTTCAAGTTTACATTAACAAACTTCAAATGAACAAACTTTTCCCCTACTAATTCTCCTAAAGTCACATGTAGAGAAGAGATATCTCATCACGAATAGCATCCATAGCCAATCAATCTGAATTAAAGAAACCACCCAAACCCAATTCTCAAATGCTGACAAGGACCTTGATCCCAAAACTCTCACTCTCATACTCCCTAGCAGTTCATAGATAACACATTAAAGACAACTATGACTAATGGTGCAAGATAGTAAAACTCAGACATCTTCAGTATCTTCCTGATTCTTTTAGAATATCTGTAACAACAAAACGTCTCTTTGGAAGTGCTGCAGAAATTCTACAACCTAATATAGGATCTGCACATTACTTAAGCAACAGCAGCTCTGCCACCAGAGCCTGGCATATGTTGAGACCTCTTGAATGCTGTGATACAATGGAGCACATTCAGAACTGCATTTTCTAGCTCTTGCTGTTTCAAAGCATGAAAATCCAACTCCCAGTGTTGCTTCTCCACACCCTGAAGTTTGTTGCACAACACCAGTCTCCAATGACCTCATCTGATACAAGTGGTAGAGTTTTGGACTTTGTTTCTTAGCTACCTTTCTTCTATTTTAGGACATCAATCATTTTTCCAGCAACTGAAGGACTGATTAGGCTAAATCATTAAAGCTCAGTTTCACCCAGGCTGAGCTATACTCAGAGTTGAACATGTAAAAGGGGTACTTTTTTTCTCAGTTTATCTATTCTTGTATAATCACAATGAAATCAACCACAGAAGTAAACAAATCCTAAAATATTACTCCTGGACACGCAGAACAGCAAAAACAATAGGAAAATAAAATATTTTTCAGTATATGAATGAAAATACTTTTTGAAGTCAGTCACTTGCACAACTGTGTTTTAAGTTGTCCCCCTCACTTTTCATGTTCAACAAGTGTGGGGCTTGTTACTAAAAGATCTGTGACCTGTATTTGAGCTCAAATTGTTAGAAATATCACCCACAATTACAATTTCTATCAATTACACAGCCTACAAACTACATATTTTCCAAGAGGGCCACTGGAAAGCCTCCCACCTCACCAGGTATTCAAATTAGCAACAACACAGCTGTGCTTGCAAAGGGGTACTTATACAATGTGCTTGATTTGGCAGCAAATCTAGCTTCAGAACTTCCCATCTGCAACATGTCACCCACCCCACAAATACACATCAATAAAAGTATTTGTGGGACACCACTGTAAACTTCACCAGTGAAACAACTGGACTTCAGAAAACTCTCCTGGAGAAGAGGATGAAAAGAAGGGAGCAACAGCCAAGAATGATGGAATCTGAGTGTGAAGCTCCTAAACATCCATTATGAGAATGAAGTGGTGAATACTGAAGAAACAGAAGCTTAAAGCAGCTCCTAGACCCTGATGAGGTATAGAAATTCACATGTGTTGGATCTAAACCAAACCCTGCAATGTTCCTGTGATGCTGGGCCAAGTCCTATGACCTGCACGTGGAAGCATGGATTACTGAGTGGGTCCCATAACTATCAATAATACTGATTTTGACCTCAAGGCCAGTACTATTTGACACAATATTTTTGATTAAATAAACATTGTATTACAAGCTACCAGTATATTTCAGTGTATGAACATCTTTTCAGTTTATACTATTCAAAGCTTTACAGAGACATGGATGATTCCTAAACCCAGAAGACAGGGAAGAATTTCTTAGAAGTCACATTACATTCAAAAAAGCTTCTGGTGACATAACCAGCAGGCTTATAATATTATTAGTCCTCCTAGAAATCCTTGGACCTTACAAAACACACAGTTATGCCCATTTCTGACCACAGTTTGGTCAAGATAAGACTTAAACTGTGAACAAAAATATAGTTCATTGGCCCCAATTTATTTTTTTATTGAATAAAGCATTTAGCACATTCATGCTTAGCATATTAATTAATAAACCAAATATTTCCATTTGATACTCATACTCAAATTTAGGTGCATCATTGTAAAAAAATATTAATAAAGCCTGGGTTTTAACTAGATGTAGCTTTCTACAGTGCTAGAAATGCTGATGCATTAAGTTTCATAAAATAACAGCAGTATTTCAGATTTTCTTCTTTTACAAAATCTTACTATTCCTGAATATGTACATAATCATTGAAAGACATTTACTTAAACCACTGAAGGAATTGTTTAAAAGAAAAATGCTCTTTTTCCTAAAGTAACATTTATGTTATAAAACGCACATTGACTACAGCCAGTATTTCCCCTCCCTTTCAAGGGGTTCAATAAGTGCACTGCATCTATTTTAAATGGGCTCTGGCAGAATCTCAAAGGCAACTTCCCTCTCCTCTGGTGGAGAAGGGAGACAACTGTCCAGTCCATTATATTTACAACGATGGTTTACTAAGAGGATTTCCTCCCAAATATTTGCAGGAAAGTTCACAGAGACAGCAAATCCTAGATCTGAGGAAAATTAATCTCAAAATCCAAGGGTGAAAGCTGATGCAAATGAAATTAACGAAAATGGTGCCATGGACTCACAATTCTAGCACAATCCTAAACTGCATAATCAAACCTGAAAATTCCAGTCTTTCTATTTACTAACTTTTTTTTTCCTGGGAACAAGCAGCAGAACAAGGTCAAATGTATTTGGATTTAATCTGATTTATCTAACCTAAATGTGCTAAACACGTTCAGGTCTCACTGTGAATTTTCAGACTGTAATTAACCTTCAATTCGACTGCTCATACTTGGGGTCTAACACAGTTAAATCTTTCAATATATGAGGTCCCTCTGAAGCACAGTAAGACTAACCTTTACAGAATCACCTTCCCCAAATGACCTGCATTTGACCACTAGTACATTTTCCTCATCCAATCCATTACTGATGTAGTAATGCAACTTACTTTACAAAAAGGCTAAAATTTGCCCACTAATGGGATTGCCTTCCATCCTCTCTGTTCTGACACATTTTATAACTACTCTAGCAGGGTTAAATGTTCATGCACTAGATGGGGCTCCAACATTTTTTTACCCTGTTATAAAACCCCCAAACATAGCATCAATATCTTTGCAGGACCAAGAGACTGGATCTGCTCCAAGAAAGTAACTTTAAGTATTTAATGGGGATACAGCACAACCCAGCAATCTTCTAATGTGACAACAAATTCCACTTAGATTTCTCAATTTTGCTGAAAACAAATGGGAGGTGCTGTTTAGGTAAGACAGTATTGCTGCAAGTTTGTATACACATCACCGGGATTTTCCTGCTCAAACACTGGCTTTTTTGTTAATTACCTAAGATCCTAGGACAAACAGCCCCTAGAAGGCTCTACATTGCCTCTACACAAACTTAGCAATCATATCATGCAAGGCCTGCTGACAACTTTAACAGGACACAATTTCAGGCTCCAAACACTATTACTAGAAAAGTCATCCACTTGAAATAGTTGTAACATTTCCTGACAAGAAAATAATAACACAATGAAAAGAAAAATCTTTATGTATAACACTTAACATATGAAGAACAACAACAGGAAAAAATATCAAATCCAAACAAAGCCCTATAAAAATGCAAAACTCTAAGACATGTCTTCTTCTGTGTTTAGCTACTTAAATCTAAACTACATGCTTAACAACAGCAGGCTACAAGAGGGAAGAGTAATTTATTTCTTGGAGGGGAAGAGAACTTTAATAAAATTTTCTTGTTTCCAGAAGGAAATCTCAGGGACAAACAATACAGGAACCTGGCTTAGACTGAAACCAGCAGCTGCTAACTGCATTCTTCACATAGTTCTTCATCTGATAGCCAACAAGAGATATCAACCACATATTGTTCCTGACTTTAGATAAAAGACTTGCTGCCTTAGGTTTTTCTGAAATCATGTATTATTTTCTTAGGAGTAGAATTGCATCATCTTCTTGAAGTCTAAAACTTAATGTGAGAGTTATGCTTGTTCCCAGAAAGACATGTAATCTTTAGTGATTTGCTGAGGAAAGAAGCATAGAGAGGATGAGCTTTCTAAAAGACCTAGCTGACTCACAAAGTAAATTCACTACACTTATTTTAAGAATGATGTTTAACGAGTGCAATATCAGGTACAACTATAAGCCTATAAAGTTGGTATTCTACCTTTGAAGAGAAAGCAAAACATGCTATATACCCACAAAAACTATGTATTTGTTCAGACTATTGTCAATTCTATGAAATGCTTATGCTGTGGCACAGATTTAATTTTAAAAGGCTATAATGAAATCAAACTGTGCATTTCAAAAGAAAAAAAGACAAGCAAGGAATTGTGTAGGAATCTCAGAAACTGTGAACTGGCCTGAACTGACTGTACAGAATAAATTAGGAAGATATACATAAGTTACAACAGCTTGAAGAAAAATCCACAGCATTTTCAGGCTAGCAGAATAAATTACCATGATCATCTTTTCACTTATCTGCATTGCCTATCTGATCTAAACAAGATCAATATTGTGGAAGAATGTCAATCTTGCATATGTCAACTGGACAAACACTTTCCCATCTGTGAAATCCATTCTCCTGGATTTGGTGATCCATTTAAGCCTTCATATTTAGAAGTTTACATTGCTCCACTTGAGATTACTTCACACTAAACTAACTACAAGAGACGTATCATAACTGCAAGAAGGTTACAAAATAAGGCTGCTCCTAGTTCTTATGTTTCCGTGGAGAAAACAGCCACGCTCAGTACAGTATTTTGTGTGATTGCAGAACCCATGCTTATATGCACCATGAAAAGAATGCAATTACCATCAGGGTTCCCCTGGAAAAAAATGACTTTCCAATATTAATTAAAATTATAATTGAAGTAAAAATACATCAATAAATTTAACGTTCCGCTCAGAAAAAATAAATTAAAAAAGGTCCTGCTGTATTTTAGTGGGATTATCGCACTCATAACAAATAACCCTACCTTAACCTTAAGTGATTTTGCACTATTTAAGCCTCACACATCTAGATGCTTTTGTTGTTATGTTTTATGAAAATAAACCCAACCCCAAACTAGTGTATTTTAAGACTTTTGCTCCTCTTCTCTCCTGAATGCATTAAATATTCTTATAGGTCCTGTTTTCCAGACTTCTCTGTTTTGCTGCCTTCCTCTTGAGTTTCCACACATGGTGTCAAAAGCAAGAGACTGAACTGAGCCCTCATCACCACAAGGTATTACAGAATGTCACTTTTTCTGGCTCATGTAATGACTCTTCTAATACATCCCAAAAAAAGGGCCTCCCCTTTTTGTCACATCACAATGCTGACTTAATCTATTTGTGGAAAATACTCAATTCTCCTCTTATTGTACAATTCACTACTTAGGCTTTTTTTTTGTTAGTATTTGATTTCCATTTGTAAACATGTATTTTGTGTTTGTTCCCTAAATTTGCTAAGGCTATTTAAAATAAATTTTATAAAAAAATAATCAAACCCAGTGACTGCAGATTCTCCCATCGCAGCACCAACTTTAGAGTAAAGCATATGCCTCTTGAGCCCACAATCAGTCTCTGCAAGGCCCTACTTGGACACTACCATTTGCCACTAAGGTGTCGTTTGAAAAGGTTGCTCACTGACTTTGTGACAATTTCATCTAGACCTTATTTCCAAAGTTCATGTAGAAAGAATCCTATGCAGGACAGTATCAAGAGCTCAATTACAGTGAAAAATTGAGTACATCTGCTTCTTCTTTTCCACCAAGTCAGTTACTGTTTCAATGAAGGACATCAGTTTGGTTACACTTGATTTGCTCTTGAAATACTTTACTTACTTCGATACTCAAATGGCCATAAACCCCACCCCTTGTCAGCCCTAATTCTTATCATTTGATCATTTAGTAGTTTACTACTCCATGTCTTTCCAGAGTTTCTAGTGATAAAATAGACAGATTTCTATTAAAGTAGAGCATTAGATAAACTGATGTAGATACAGTATAGTAGATTGACAAGCTTTTAACTACAACTACTTTCCCTCTTCTGACCTGCACTTCCTATCGGCTGTCAAGAAGCATGCAAGTTACCTTCTGAGATCAGAGTGTTGATTGTCCTCTGCTGTTTCTCATTTACCAATTACACAGCATGCCTTCAGCTTCTTTCTTCCTCTGACCCTCTAACAGAACCTGTCCTCATCTTCTACTGTTCCGTGCTGGTTGTAACTGACTTTACTCTCCTTTCATCTTTCCCACACTTTCCCAATATGCTTATGCCATCTCTTTATACTCGCTTTTAGAAACTGGTTGGAGTCTAAACAAGCAACTTTCTCCCTCAAAAATTTTCACCAGTGCTTTGTGAGGACAGATAGCCTAGAGAATCAGACAAAACCTAGTCTGAAGTAAACTCTTCAAATTCACACTCTAAAGATGCAGAAATATCTGCAACAGCAGCTTTAGTAGACTCGTTTGCTTCTACTGAATTATGTGCCACTGACAATTATTAGTCTAAGACTTTACTGTAGCATTAAACACCAAGGACACCATAAGTATTTCTCCTGTGCTTGCCTAAACCTATTATTCGTCTTTTGAATGATACAAGTGAGCATTCCTCTGAAACTGCTTCAGAAAATGGGACTTCTGTTGCCTCTCACATCAAAGCAGATATAGTAACCTTTAGTAAGCTTTAGTAGTTTCCTAAAAAATGAGCACACAAACCTGTTTATGAAGCAGCTCTGCAAACCCATCCTGTGTTTTCTTATCCAGGTAGCACATTTTAGCTATTCAGCATATTTGTAGCTGCAGAAATCCCACTATTAGAATTTAGTTAACAATTCCCTTCGTAAGTGAGGCTGATTAAAATCTATTTCCCTCCTTTAATTATGCTGGCTTTACAGAGATAAAAAATAGTAACGTTTTTGCTGCATATTAACAGAGACTTATCTGACTCACAATATAAATAACAACATAATTAAATTCAGTTAAACTCTGAGGATACATTACTTTAAAAGAGGCACAACTGTAGAACTTCTGCAGCATCAGCTTTAGAAAGTATTCTCTTGTGTACTACAGAGAGACTTCTACCAGGCCTGCTGAAATGTATTTACAGCAATAACTATCACTCTCCAAGGTCAGGATTTTGTTTACTTTCTTGGTGAAGAACTGATGGACAACCTTTCCACAGGAATCACTGCAATGTCATCAGACATTACCATTCCACAACAATTACTGTGGCTAGATAGGAGTAACTCCTCCCATGAGCAGAGCAGCACACTGCCTTCACACAGCACATGCACCCTCGGGAGGAAAGCGAAGAGACAACAGACCTTCAGTGTTACCTATTTGTCTCTCTAGATCTGCTGCTTCATCTGGTGTTGCGCGGGGGAGGACACCAGGATCACTGAAACTAGTGCGCAGCAGGGTCCCCATCACGAAAAAGAAAAGGATCCCACCAATTGCAGGTATAGCAGGTGTAATCTTCTCTGACAAATACGGACAACTGGAAAAAGAAAGATTAAACAATCAACAACACACAGTGCAACTTGCTCTCAGAAACTGTTAACATCGATAAATGCATATGAAGAATTCACTTTCTTCTATTGATACATTACTTGCCTTGAAATGTCTATTGAAGCTGAAATTTCTGTTTGTGTTCATGACACTTTCGAAATTTCTTATAATTTGTTCAATATAATACAGGTCCAAATAGCATAGTAATGACCTCACTAAAATGTAACTCATTTCTATAAGGAAATACAATATTTTTATTACGGTATAATAAGCTTATATATTTCTTCATCTATTGTCCAATCACATAAAAATAAAGAGAAGGGGAAGGGGAAATAACCTGAAGGTATTCAGCAATAAAAATGCAAAGCACATAGCATGATGAAATAAATACATTTTTCAGTGAGGCTTAAGTCTATAAAACGAATTTATCATCCCCCAGAAAGACGGTGCTCAAGAACTTACACCCATGACACATTCCTTTAATAGGCTCAGTACATATCAGTATCGTATCACCACTAGTGATTCTCTTTCTTAATCCATTTCTTGTAACTTGGTAAACTTGTTTACTCATTTAAAAGTAGGAAGAGTGCAAATGACAGTGCAACACAACTGGGACCAAATAATCCAGGGTGGACGGGGTGGGTGCATCATATCTATGGCAACATCAACAGGACAAAACCCGGTCTAGGGCTACCAGACTTAGAACATATATGCAGGGTTAAGATTAGATTACACTTTTAGCAAATTTTCCTCTGGTCTTCACTTGTAACTAAATCAAAATGGACAGAAGCATTGGAATCTAAACAATACACAACTATAAGTATCTCTTATCTCAGTTGTGCAAAAAGAAAGGATATGAACACTCAGACATTACAGAGTATACTACTCCCACTAATCTGAGTCTTACAATAGGCACGGTAGGACCATCTTAGAAAACGCACAGGCTGAAGACTCTTCCTAGCTCTCAAATTAAGTGTGTGTGTGGCAAAATACCAAGATGGCTTCATGTATTTCTGATGTCTGCGTGAGAAGTCATAAAATAAGCCTAAACCCAACATAAAATGAAAATCAACAAGTTCTAGGCCTTAGGGCTTAATCTAAAGCTTTCAGGTATCAATCAAGTTTAATTAACATTGTCTTCCCTGTTTCTGCTGACTGCCTTAAATGATGATCCAGACGCACAAGCTTTTGCACTGCAAGTCAGTTAGCCTCAGCGGAATGTTAACTCTGAGCAAGTGATGACAATGTCAGCTTCACTGTCCATCACTTCTGCCAACAGGATGGGAGAGAACAGAAACACTTTTCATAGAGCTACCATGTACAAAGCATTTATCTCCCTGCATAATCCTGTTAAATGTAGTTGGCTGTTCCATCAAACACAGGGGGTTTCATGGATGCAGTGAGTCCACATGCATTACATTGTGCATAACATCACTACGAGTGGAAATCTTCTTTCTCCCTACATGAATGCAGCATTACAGGTGTAACAAATTCCAAAGATTAAAAAGACAACTGGATATAAAAAAACAGTGAGGGACAAGAGATACTGTAGTTTCATATAACAAATAGGTTTTTAATACTAGGAAATGTACTTCTGCAGTGAGTCCACATGCATTACATTGTGCATAACATCACTACGAGTGGAAATCTTCTTTCTCCCTACATGAATGCAGCATTACAGGTGTAACAAATTCCAAAGATTAAAAAGACAACTGGATATAAAAAAACAGTGAGGGACAAGAGATACTGTAGTTTCATATAACAAATAGGTTTTTAATACTAGGAAATGTACTTCAAATGTACATATAAAAAAACAGTGAGGGACAAGAGATGCTGTAGTTTCATATAACAAATAGGCTTTTAATACTAGGAAATGTACACTTTCAGGAAAACCTGTTTCAAAGACCCAGTTTTATGAAATCAGTGCAAACTAAAGGACGCAGCAGCAAGACATAAGCCTTGGTAGCCATAAGCCTTGCTCTCTTCATGTCAGAGAAATCAGTCAGAATGAACAACCGAAGAGAAGCTTTCATACCACATAAATGTCCTACTGCTCAATTTATTTCTTGCCACAAAGGATTACTGAATCCAAACTACTGTAATATGCTCAGACAAGAGTACAAATAGGCTGCAAGAACCTATTTTTAAAGGATTAGAGGGAACATGTACAATAATGAACACTAAATATAGCACAGTGCTATTGCTCTTCTACTGAATTATTCATTACACATACCAAAGAAATTGCAACTGTGATGATGTCTGTTGACCAAACAAGAGCTGTATGTGTACCATGAGATAATCTCAGGGTAGCACGTTAGGCGCAATACAATTTCGACAGGTGCCAATTGAAAAAGAGCAATGACATCTACATACACAACTTAATTTTCATTGATACTCAGATAATGGAAACTGAAGGGTCATCATGAATCTGACATATTTTTCCTTTAAAAGAAATTTCATAGGAAATTGGTAGAAGGAACAAATTCCTGTGCTAAAATACTGAGAAAGCCTTGCACTGCTGAAAAGTGAAGTCTTCAATATAGTAAAATGCACAAAAATATCTGTCTCTTTGCTTTTTCACTGTCCACCCACAGTGAAAAAGCCCCACTCTCAAAGCCCTGTGCACTCTTCACCATAGGCTAATGTAAGCTAACCTGCTCTGCCTAGAAGTGTTTTCAGGGTATAACCACCTGCATTTTACCAACTTTGACTGGGAATTAATTCAGCGATAAGGCAGAAAAGTCTGTAGATGACGTATTTGGCAAAAACAGCCAAGTAATGTTCCACCAATTCTGAAATCATTTCAAGGTGAGAAACCAGTCCTTACAGAGATTCAGGCAGTAAACCTTGGCAGGACCATTGAATCCGATGTATGTACATGGGCTCACAAAGTTCAACCATACCCATCCTTTCAAAAGGTCCAATTAATTTTTCAAATACCTGTCGGTTAAATTATTAAAAAAAGATACTATATAGACGCTTTTTCTTCATGTCTACAAAAGAAAAAGGGGAAAATTTTAATTCTTCTGGGTTATTAAAAATTTCACTAAATGTGACTTCAAATTAAAAATGTGGGTATTAGCTCAAAATTGTGAATGCATCTGTAGAAATACACTTGCATATTTATATAATTTATATTTGCATTCTTACATAACAAATGTATTCGTACTGCTACATTAAATCAGTATTATTTTAAACAATTTGTTTTAGTGCTACGACTTTTAGGATTGCTAAATACTGTACACAGAAAAAGAATATTCCCAATATTTGCTCAAATTCCTTAATTTATTTGCTTTAACTGAGAATGCATCCCTTCAGGCAAAAGCTGTCTTCAGATATTACAATTAAGTATCTTTTTCCAATGGTATTTTCAGTGAGTTTTTAAAGCAAACATTAGTGGGTATTTCCTGACAGCAAATTTCAGATTTTTCAAGCAGAGGAACTCCCTGTGCAGAGAACAGCTCAGTGCTAGCACCACTTATCATAAACAGCAGAGAGCTCCAGAACAAATCTTGGTCCTACTGCAGAGCGAGCAGTGACAAACCTTTTCAAAACAGCACTCAGTAACTACTAGATGTGAACTGACACCCTCAGTTTACATCTTAGACACACTAAACCAATTGCTCTTAATCAGCATCTGTAAATGACAGCAAGTACTGACTAGGTCCATCCCAGAAAACACATTTTTAGGAAATATTACTTCACCATAGATCCCACTAGAAATGGTTATTGTGAAAATAGTTTCTTCAGAGAAAAACATTTGGATCTGCACACAGGAAGCAGTAACACAGCTTGAAGTTTTGAATTCATTAATAAGGAGTTATATACCTTCAGCCCTGCTTTTTGCTTGGCTTCTCAGCTGCTTTTTTGATGCATCATGTGAAAGTTTGCAGGAGTGTAGGAGGGAAATAAAATCTGCTGAAAGACTATCCTGTCATAGCTAGATAAAAATATAATATGGCATATATTACAAATATATATAATAAAAGCTATGGCATATAAGAGATAATTATCAAGCATCATCTCTGAACAAAGGATTCAGGAGAAGAACAAGAGTAATTCTTAGCACCCAGCAGCCCTCTTAACTGTATAACCAAGCTCCCTGTGCCTACCAAGATCAGCACAAAAATACACACAGTAACTGTACTGAGGAGCACACACAGTGAAGAGTCCTACAACTTTTCAAGCACTGTTATTAGTAAAGAGCAGGAAAAAAAAGAAGCCTCCTTAAGGCCCTTCCTTAAAAGGGGCCAAAGATGTGTTTGAAGAACAACACCATGGAAGATGCAAAGATGGGCAAAACATGAGGGCATAGCAAGAACCTTGGAGGCTGCTACCTGAAATAATAGATAAAAGGGACAAAGGCAATGATCAGTATGAAATAATTTCATTGTTGCAGGGCTTGGAGGGTTGCTTCTTTTAACTTCTTTTGTTTTTTCACAAGCATGCTGCTAGCACACAAAACAATGTGGTGTAATTTGAGTATAGATTAGTCCAAGTAGTTACGTGAAATTCCAAACAAGATTAGCTAAGGAGGTTCTGCATTAGTTTCCTACACCTGACTGATTCTTTAGTAAAGCCTTTAAAATTCCTACAGAATTTTTAAGAGATATTAAGCAATGTACAGACTAATTTCAATGGGAGCTGAAATTTACTTCTAAAAAAAATTATTATTATTTTTGTGTTTTGAGCATATTTTCCAAATCATACACTCCCTCATTTCAGAATGGTCAAGCAGTTTCAAAAGCTTGTCTGATAAAATACAAGATCAAAAAAAAAAATAAAAAATCACTCTTCTAATAACTTGCCTCATTTCAAATCCAGGAAATTTGGAATGCTGCAAATGTGAAGACCGTGGAAAGCAGAACAGCTGACAAATGAAAGGCAGAATGACAATAGGAAAGGAAGCATTAGGCAGAGTATTACCTCCTCATATTAATAATCCAAGATACTATATCCTAATCAGAAAGGCGTATTTATTGAATGGTT